TTTCTTCATTTTATGCTTGTCTCTGCTCCACTCTTCCCATCTCTCTTATCTATGGGAATCCCCGGAGCTGCCATCGTTTGGTATATATTGGTGTTCCATGTGAAGCAGAGCCGGCGTACTTTCCATTCCGAGGCACGTACATTCTTGGCCACCTGCAGAATATGGTTTTTGTTCCTCCTGTTTATATGACCCCTCATCTTCAGTCTCCGGGTAATCGTCTTTCCTTCTAGTAATTCCCTTATCTGCTTCCTTGTAAGGTTGCTGTTTTCTATCAGTATCCTTAGTGCCTTTCGTTCAGCCCTTTGTATTGGGTGTTGCTTTCTGGGTGTCATAATAGTAATGTAGCTCTTTTCGTTGTTTATTTGAAGGTCTGTCATCTCTAGGTATACCTCCCCGGTTTGGAAGAAGTCCTCGAGGTCTTCTGTCTTGTCCACGATTACGAGTAGGTCGTCCGCGTACACCAATAGTAGTTGTAATTGGCCATCTATGCTGATAGATAGTTCATTTAGTGCTCGGTACTCTTCCCAAACAAATGTATACTAGTATATACTCCCTTAGGTACGCGTTTATAATTATATTGGTTAGGAATTTGGGCAGTCCCAGCAGCTTCATGCTTCACTTGGTCGAAGGCCTTCGCCAGGTCTATTGCTAGAAGCCGTACTTTGGTTCCTGCCTAGGGGGAAACAAGTTTGAATGTTTGCTGTACACCTTTCTGAATTAACGTGAATTAACTTTTGATCTAGTTGCCCGATCTTGGAACTGTTTGAAATTATGGATTCTGCAGGCCACATTCTATAAGAAAATGTTTTTTCCCGGTCGATCTGAGACAATTGAGGCAGCTCGTATCTGTCGAGTATCAAATGTTGCTCGATTTTTTTTAAACGTATCTGTGACGCAATATTTGTCGCATAAAAACAGAGAAAAAACCTACTGCGTAGTCAAGGTTTTTGGTAGGCGCGTCGACATGGAGGGGTATCGTCAAAGACATAAACGCAAAGCCTCTCCATGCCTCCTTTTCTGCTGCTTGTACTTCCATCTGATTTTTCCTCCACCTTCAGTACGCATCTGCGTTCTTTCTTCATTTTATGCTTGTCTCTGCTCCACTCTTCCCATCTCTCTTATCTATGGGAATCCCCGGAGCTGCCATCGTTTGGTATATATTGGTGTTCCATGTGAAGCAGAGCCGGCGTACTTTCCATTCCGAGGCACGTACATTCTTGGCCACCTGCAGAATATGGTTTTTGTTCCTCCTGTTTATATGACCCCTCATCTTCAGTCTCCGGGTAATCGTCTTTCCTTCTAGTAATTCCCTTATCTGCTTCCTTGTAAGGTTGCTGTTTTCTATCAGTATCCTTAGTGCCTTTCGTTCAGCCCTTTGTATTGGGTGTTGCTTTCTGGGTGTCATAATAGTAATGTAGCTCTTTTCGTTGTTTATTTGAAGGTCTGTCATCTCTAGGTATACCTCCCCGGTTTGGAAGAAGTCCTCGAGGTCTTCTGTCTTGTCCACGATTACGAGTAGGTCGTCCGCGTACACCAATAGTAGTTGTAATTGGCCATCTATGCTGATAGATAGTTCATTTAGTGCTCGGTACTCTTCCCAAACAAATGTATACTAGTATATACTCCCTTAGGTACGCGTTTATAATTATATTGGTTAGGAATTTGGGCAGTCCCAGCAGCTTCATGCTTCACTTGGTCGAAGGCCTTCGCCAGGTCTATTGCTAGAAGCCGTACTTTGGTTCCTGCCTAGGGGGAAACAAGTTTGAATGTTTGCTGTACACCTTTCTGAATTAACGTGAATTAACTTTTGATCTAGTTGCCCGATCTTGGAACTGTTTGAAATTATGGATTCTGCAGGCCACATTCTATAAGAAAATGTTTTTTCCCGGTCGATCTGAGACAATTTTTTCTTCGGTCCTCAAAAAAAGGCAGTGTATAACCTTCCTTTTTTACCAAAAATCGACTACACCAAAATTTCTCGGGAAAAAACTTTTTCTTATTAATTTTGGTGCGTAGAATCCAAAACGATTGGTACTTTTTCGATTAGACGTCTCAATCAAAAGTTATGGGCAAAAAACCAATTTCGACAAAAAATTCAAAGGCCTGTAACTGTTGATCTAGTTGCCCCATCTTGGAACTGTTTGAAATTATGGATTCTGCAGGCCACATTCTATAAGAAAATGTTTTTTCCCGGTCGATCTGAGACAATTTTTTCTTGGGGCCTCAAAAAAAGACAGTGTATAACCTTCCTTTTTTACCAAAAATCGACTACACCAAAATTTCTCGGGAAAAAACTTTTTCTTATTAATTTTGGTGCGTAGAATCCAAAACGATTCGTACTTTTTCGATTAGACGTCTCAATCAAAAGTTATGGGCAAAAAACCAATTTCGACAAAAAATTCAAAGGCCTGTAACTGTTGATCTAGTAGCCCGATCTTGGAACTGGACAAAACCGTTGATCTTCCTTTTATGAAACCTGTTTGGTATACTGGACTGGACTGTCTGCTGTCATTCTTTGGGGACCAAGTTCCTGGTCCATACCTTCTGAATTAATTAATTAATTCCCCATCATTTCTTTCACCGTAGGAGTGGCCAGTAATCGTTCTCTTCCATTAACTGGATCTGTGCTTCTGGTTCCTCCTTCAGGAGCTTCTACCATGCTGTCATTGGCACATTTTTTTTGGTTCCTCCTTCTGTTTTTTTATGTGCTTATGCATTTCCGCATTCCTCTCAATAAATTGGACTAATCTTGGCGATGTTATCTGCAAACTGTTGTTCAAAGGCTCTGTTTTTCTCCCATCTGGCCTCCCTTAGCCCTTTCTTTGCTTCACGTTTGCGTGGGTTTTGCCCAAACCTCTTCAGTGTTCTGCTGTGATTGTCTATGGCTTGCCTCGGTGACATGGGCGGTTTATGTTCCCCAAGTGTTTTCCGTGCTGATTCCTTGAGCGCTCCGGCGATCCTGTTCCTTCCCCCTTTTGGTTCCTGGTCTCGTCCTGCATCTTTCTATACTCCTCCCTTCTCCTCTTCTCTGTCAGAAATTTCACATACCACCATTCAGTTCTCCCGCTTTGCTCCCTTCCCTTTCCTTCTTCTTCGCTTCCTTCCCCTTCCCTCCTTCTGTCCTCCTAGTCATTTTGTGGTCCTATCCTACCGTTCTGACCCATACTCCTACTGTTTTAGTCATTTGATTCATTCACCCTCAGTCCATGTAGATGTACAGGGTGAGTCAACGATTGCGCGGAGTAACTTAATGCCTTGAAGATAAGATTTTTCAATAGAGCGCTTTTGTATTATGATATGGTTGAATATTTTACACATTTTAAAAATATTTGGAATTGTACAGGGTGCGGCCACAAAGTAGGGCGCCAAAATGGTACATTAGATAATAGTTTTAAAGATAACTCGAGCATCGCTAAAATTCAAACCAGTCAGCGGCGACCATCTGATGGACCCCGTGGCGGTTTCACTACCTTAAAGCCAAAAGCGCTCAAAGGAGATCGAGCACATCGTCCCAAAACGACAACGGCGCGATGGGGGTGGTAACTACGAGGCATTTTATCCAACCTACGACGATCTCAAGGAGACAACGACAGAATCCATGGGAAGTTTAACGCCGAGTTCTTCCCCAGAAAGCAGAAAACGGAGCCCGTCCAATTCTTTCTCAAGAGGAAGGCGCAAATCGCAAAGCGTCCGAGAATCACGACCAGCGACCATATCGACCCCCTGAAGAAGCCAATACATCTCCGTATCCGTCCGGCTCTTCCCCAGGAACCTCGTTCGTCTCGCTAGGAGTTTTGAAGACGACCAGCGAAACAGACCAGACACTCCTGACGAATCCTAGTCGCTTCAAACCTCGTATCGGCCATCAACCTCGGCCAGGCTTGGCTAGATAAGGAAAAGGCCGTACTGAACTACGAACGGGGCTACATCCATTGGTGGACGATCTAAAGTCGCACGATACATTGGTCCAGGAAAACTAACACTTCCAGAGACCAGCTCACTAACACTACGAAGATCTACACGTGTTCCCACAGCCGCTTATACCCCAGTTAGGCAAGCTGCTGAAAAACTTTCCAGTCTACCCTAGACGACCACACCCCGCCAGGATGCACTCTTCCTGGACAACCGACAGCCGAGCCCCATTATGACTGGACGAACGCAGTAAATTAACTTCTCCTTCGACGTCGTCCACTACCCGTGGCAAACCAACGAACTACCCGACTATCTGTCTCACAACCCCTCGGCCGGGCCTGTCCCCGAGGATGCGATAGAATGATTACGCTCATACCGGAGCCAAGCAACGCCGACCAACCTCCCAGCATCGCTTAGATCGAGATTGAAAAACTGGACGCGTGGGAGAGAATCTGGGAAGAAGGGCAGAAAAGCGATTTCTCCAAAATAACCTTCTCGGCAAACTCGGCCTCGCCTACAAGTCGCAAGATAAAGCCCTTCCTAGGCTTTCCATCCTAGATGTCTCGTCTGATCTCTCTCCGTACCATATCCGGATCGTGCGGTGCTTTAAGTGCCAAAAATTCGGCCATAATTCTTTTAACTGCCGTAGTAAGCTTCAATTCAGTCGCTGTGCAGGTAGTCATGACCAGAAAGGTCTTAAACGGAAGATCCTTACTGTGCGAGCTATCTACCATTATCCGCACAGCGTGCATCCCTTCTAACTGGTACCGACTCCCCATCTTGATCCATCCCAAAGAGTCAGCCTGACAAAGACAATCAGGGAAGTGGTGAACCTTCTTCTTCGACCTCTTCCGCCGAACCAACGGCGTGGAAGGCCTTCAAGCAAAATCTTCCACACGCGCTGAGAGCAATACTGTTGGGAATTAGACCCTTCTCACTCAGCATCGATGGAGGGTTCTGGACGCTCATCCGCAATATGCTATTTGACCTAAATATTTTACAAAAATACACGATAGGCATTAATGGAGATGGGGGAGGGGGGCGTTAGTCTTCCCTTGAAATCATTCGACACTGATTACGCATTAATTTTAATTTACCGGCTTTCTTAAACTGACAACAGCTTTAAAAGGTTTCAGAGTCGGACTAAGGTTCTCTATAATCTCGAGCTTCGGCGGGTTCCCCGGAACGGCTTTAAAATTGAACGTCTGAAGAAGACAAGCCAAGATTAGGAACAGATTTGCCCTTGCCAAAATTTCGCCGAGACACCTTCGTTTTCCCAAAGCGAACGGTATGAAATCGCTCGGCACGTTTAAGTTGCCGTCCTTTAGAAAACGTTCAGGATCGAAAACGCTTGGATTTGCCCATCTGCCGTTCGGATCCATAAATACCGACCTCAGGCTTCCAAGTAAAATGGTACCCTACAACATTTAGTGTTAGTCAACCAGGATCACGTGATAACAGAACGAAAACCTTTGGAATAAAGTAACCGTTAAACGTGGTGTCTCTCGTCGCCCGTCGTGGTACAAGAAATGATCTACCCCCATACAATCTTATCGTTTCCATGGTTATAGACTCTATGTAGGGCAACCTATGGTTAGGAAATAATGCACTGTTGCCAGTATTAAAACTTACCGTGGCTTGTCCTCTAAACTAGGCAGTCTCCCACTTCCAACAACCCCATCAAGTTCCTTTTGGGCCTTTCGCTGAACATCTGGATGAAGTACGAGGTAAAATATCGCAAATTCCAACGCGTGCTGGAGAGTTTCAAAACCCGTCAGAAAGAGATCCAGGCAAATCGCTAGCAATTGCTCTTCATCGAAGTTGTCCGTTTTCTCTGGGCCACTCAATACCTCTAGATAGGCTCCGATTAGGCTAAGACGCACGGTAGGTTTTCTCAAGCCATGTATTTTTCGCCTTGCAAATTCCAGGATATTCTTATGGGCATTCACGTACGCATTATATCCGCAATATTCGGGACAGATCCGTTTCAAAAACGGAAAGTTACTAAAAGCCGTACCTGATACGGTGGCGCATCGAGAAAAATTCTCCATCGCTCTGTGCAATTCGCGTACTTCGGAATCGTCCAGGAAACTCTCGTTCCCCGCGAGTAAGGCCCAAGTCGTTTGCAAAAGCTGTTCGGCAAACAAACTGTTAACAGCAACTACTCCGTTTCGGTTCGTTTTCTTTTTCACGTCATCGATTATTGCTCGCGCTCCTCTGTCGATATTTTCGGACATTACCTCCTTACGAAATCCGAACTCCTTCAGTTGTTTCTGTACAAACCTCCTTTGGTCTTGGAAGAGTTTTGAGTCGGTGAATAGAATGCCCCTGCGTCGGCCTCCAGTCCGACTCGTTGCCAATATTCCGTCAGGTCTGGCATTGAACTCCTCCCTGGTGAACATTTCCTCGATCGCCTCTAATCCGCAAACGAAGACCAAATGCTCCCGTCCAACGCGCGTTCCCACCAGAGACCCATACCTCGCCGCAAGTACTTGCGTAGCTTTCGTCAGGTGTCCCGTCTTCAAATGGAGCCTGTACAGTTGCAAAGCGCACCCTACGAATGGCAACCACGCCGGACCTGGCGGAAAGTTTTTAGGCTTTCGCGTGTCCAGGTACGCTAGCAACCCTAGCAGTAACAATATTAGTATTAACCACATTTTAAATGTGCTCGCAGACAATTTGAATCAGCACCAAACTCAATTCTTGATAACCCAGTTTACTAGCAAATCCCAAAGTCGTTATCACGCAGTTGGGAAATAAAAATGGAAGATCGAAAAACAACGATTGGGTAGACCAAGACCTTTCTGACCTACTGGTGAACAGATTAGGGACACATTGAGAAGCGAATTATTATGACGAATTTTGTCAATCCTGTATCGTCTCGGTTCTAGGCGAAAGGTAAAGAATTGAAGAACGCGAAAGCCGAGGCAAACGAAGTAGGCAAGGGGGCAGGCAGAAAAGCCAACAATTATGGAGAAACCGAAGGAGAAATAATTATTGAAACACAAGAAATGAGGAAGGAGTGACCATAACTCATTTGGTTTAAACGAAACCGGTGAATCACCATGAGACCCCCTCCCCCCCACCCCAACACCACGAGACTACAAATAAATGAAAATTCGCTGACCATTTCTCTACAGTTATAAGTATCCAATTACCATGTTCCTTATCGCTATGAGCCCCCTCCCCCCAACACCACAGGGCCAAAAACAAATGAAAAATTTTTTTTTCCCCTACAGTTATCATTATACACCCCCCCCTCGAGGCCTCCGATAATTAAAAATTCGTAACTCACATAAATATACTCAGACCCCCACGGTTCTCCCCCATAAACCATCTACCTCGCCTCTCTCATTACAGTTTTTGGTCAAACACTATCAAACGACGCAACGGGGGCCGGGGGGTTATGCCCCCCACCCCCCACCCCGTAAAGAGGAATTCGTTTACCATTTCCCTGCAAACGTATTATCACCATGAGACCAGTTGTCGTATACTCACATAAATATACATTTCGTCTACTGGGAGGTATTCCAGACCCCCGGGTGTTACTTTCGTCTTACCGAATCGTATAATTAAAGTGGTCACGTAGACGGTCCTGGTGATGAGTGCAACACCTGGTTGCTTGGAGCGTTTCGAACACTCCCCAACAAATCAAAATTCGCTGACCATTTCCCTAAAGTTATCATTATCTCTATTAGAACCCCCCCCCCCCCCCGAGACCATTTCTCTGCAATCATCGTTATCTCCACGAGACCATTCCTATACTCATATGAATATACCCTTTGTTTACTGGGTGATATTCCATACCCCCCAAACCCTCGGATGTTCCGTTCGATGGCGTTATCGAATCCTGTAATGAGAGTGGTGAGGTAGACCGTCTTGGTGTCGACTGCAACACCGGTGTGTGTGGGGGATTTGGAATACTCCCCAAATATACACTTCGTTGGAAGGTATTCCCCCCTTCCCCGACTTCCTTCCCGGCGAGATTTGCAAAAGCGTCTTACCGAAAACTGTAATGAGCGATGTAGCAGACAGTTTTGTGGGACAACGCAGCACCGAGGTATCTGGGGGTATGGAATACCACTCGTAGCCGGTCCGTATGGCGCAGTTCAGTTAAAATCTGAACTGTGGTGCTAAGGGATCCCTGGTTCGAATCCGGCTTCGGGCTAGGATTGTTGTAAATGGATAGCGGGTTAGGTTGGTAGAACAGCCTTGACTGAAACCCCGCCCACTCAAAAATAAAGGCAAAATAATAATAATAAAGGAAAATTCTTCTCTAGAATCATCAGTACCACAATGTGACCTTCCGTATACCCTTATAAAGGGTCCGTTAACTTGCCTCACCCCCCCTCACTGAGAGATTTGATAGTCGTATTATTTTGAAATGAATGCGCTCGTTATGCGCTCATATGTGCCACCGATAATAACTCTTGCGCCATTATCGTTTTTTAGAAATCCGAAAAAACATTTGGGGGGGGGCCAAGTGAACGTAGCCCCCCCCAGTACGTATTTTGTCCCTTGTAACTAGGTCACCTGATACATTTGGTTATGCGCTCAATTGCGCCACTTGAATTAAAGCTAGCGCCATTACGGTTAAGCCGTGACAAATTTTCAAAAAGTGGGGGGGCCAACTTAACGTTTTTAAAAGTTACTTTTTTTTAACATCTTTTCATACGAAATTGTACTCTCAGGTATGCGCTGAAATGCGCCGTAAAAAGATATCTTTGCGCCATTATTGATTTTTGGATATCCTTAAATATATTTGGGGGGGGGGGCCAAGTGAACGGAATCCCCCATAACGCATTTTGCTACCGGTATTTGTGCCACTTGATACATCTGGTTATGAGCTCAATTGCGCCACTTGAATTAAAGCTAGCGCCATTACGGTTAAGCCATAAAAAATTTTTAAAAAGTGGAGGGTCTAACTTAGCGTTTTCAAAAGTTATTTCCGGAAGTGCGTCCATTTTGAAAATATTTTACATCGATTCGGCCTTCGGAGTAACTCCTAAATACAAATTTTTAAAAACCTACCTATTTTACTTTCCCAGAATCGTTTAACTAATGCTCCCAAAAAAACACCCTGTATAGTGTTTCTGAAACACTATAATGGCGCCAAGATTTTTGTTTACGGCGCGTTTTAGCGCATGATGAAAGGCACGATGTGGATTTTCAAAACCTTCTAGCGCTTTCCAACAGCAAATTAAGCACCCTAGAAGGGGTTTGAAAGCCCTATGGAGGCTTTTAAGGACATAGTGTAACTTTCCTATGCAATCCAAAGCCCTGATTCTTCTAAGCGCTTTCCAAAGTCGCATATTAAACACTTAGGTAGAGGTACACACTTTTCACAGCCTGTCTAGAGCAAGCTAGCCCTTCCAAAACCTCATAGTTGTTTTTTCCAGAGGCGCATTATACGCTTTTCAGGCTCTAAGGGCACTTCCATAGATTTCTGTAGCTTTTCTATGAAATGATTCTTTCCCAAAAAATAATTTTTTTTTAGAAAGACGAGGAAGGTAATTTTAAATAATTACCTAACATCCCAAATAAAGATGGATCCACCAATGTAATATTTTCTGTCAAATTCCAGGCTATCCAGAAATTTATTAACTCCTTTCAAAGCTGTACCGACACTTTCCAGGCCTATATGAAATTTTACAGGGACCTCTAGAGTTTCCAGAGACTTCTTTCTGTTGTGTGACTCATTCTGTTTTACAGAGGTGTATTCTACGCCCCCAGAGCCTCCGACGTTGCATTCTCTCCCAGACCGTCCATCTCACTACTCTCATTAGAGTTTTCGGTAGGGCTTCATTGAAGCGGGCGCGGGGGAGGGGACGGTATGGATCTGGCTGGTAGAAAATACCTCCCAGTATGCGAAGAGTATACGAAGGGTCCCATGGTGGTAATGAGGGTAATGGACATCAAATTTTTCACTACTTGGGAGTTTTCCATGCCCCCCTTCCCCCTCAGACCGCCGCGCCGGTGTGGCATTCTTTTTCAAGATCGCCTGCCTCGCCACTTTCACTAAAGTTTTGGGTAGGTGTCCACCGAACGTAGTACCTACCGGGGGGTCTGGAGCTATGGAATACCTTCCAGTAAAGCAAATTTCGATTACCATTTCCCTACAATCATCATTGCCACCAGAGGACCCTTCTAACACTCGCATAAATATAGTATTCGTATGCTGGGAGGTATTCCATACCACCCAGAATCACCGGTGCTACTTTCGATGGAGTCCCACCAAAAGCTCTAATGAGAGTAGAGAGGTAGACGGTTTTTGGGTAGAATGCAGCACCAGGAAGTCTGGGAATACCTTCATAAAGGGAAAATTCGATTACCATCTCCCTACAATCATCAGTACCACCATGATGCCCTTCATATACTCATATAAATGTACTTTTCGTATACTGGGGGTATTCCCCTACACCCTAGAACCCCCGGTATTCCATACCCCTCAGTAACGGAAAATTCCATGACCATTTCCGTACAATCATCATTACCGCCATGAAAAAATACCCCAATCGTATACCGGGGAATATTCCATATCCCTCAGACCCTCCGGTACTCGTTCGATGGGGTCTTACCCAAACCTTCAATGAGTGTGGTGAGGCTGTTTTTGGGGGAGAATGTAACACCAGGTGATCTGGGTGAGTACTGAGTATCCAGAGTACCCTCTTTTCCAGAATCACCCTTGCAATGTAGGTTTTTCAAAATCTAAGCGCTTTCCAAGGGCAAATTAAACTCTCCAGAAAGCCTTTCAAAGCCATATGGAAGCTTTTAGGGCATAGTGTAGAATTCCTATGCAGTCCAGGCCACTTGAACCATCTAAGCGCTCTCCAAAGACAGATTAAACGCTTAAGGTAAACTTATAAATCTTGACACACTTTCCAGAGCAATTTTGGCCTTCCGTAACCTTATAGCCGTTTTCCAGAGGCTCGTTATATTCTTTCGAACGCTGTAAGAACATTTTCGGAGCTCTAGGGAGTACCATTAAATTTATTAACTCTTTTCAAAGCTCTATAGACACTTTCAGGGCTATTTTTCATTTTACAGACACATCTAGGCTTTCCAGAGACTACTAAGTGGTTTCTAGCGCCCCATTAAGTATTTCAGAAAGCCTTCCAAAGTCCTGTAAACACTTTCTAGAGTTTTACGAGGCTTTTAGGCTTTCCAGAGACTGATAAGCGCTTTCTGTCGACTTTTCGAGTATTCGAATGTCCTCCTGGTCATCGATTTTTTATGAGTTGCCAGGAAGCGCTTAGTAACCTCTGGAAAGCCTAGGTGTCCCTGTAAAATTTCATATGGCCCTGGAAGGTGTCTATAAAACTTTAAAAAGAGTCAATACAGTTCTGGGTAGCCCAGATTTCACAGAGAAGTTACATAAAGCTCCTGAAAAGGCCCTTAGAGCGTTGAGAAGCATTCTGTAGTGTAAAATGAACCTCTGGAAAACGGCTATAAAGTTCCGGAAGAGTTGAGAGTTATGTAAAGCCCTAGATATTGTGTGTCAAGTCTAGCTTAAGGGTTTAATGTGCTTTTGGAAAGCGCACAGAAGAATCAGGGGGCATAGGAATTTTCCACTATGTCCTGAAAGGTCTCCATAGGATTTCTGACGTGTTGGCCTTGGAAAGCGCTTCGAGAATTTTAAAGAACCTGAATTGCGCAGGAATATATAGATCTGGATAGTGCTAATTCTGGACTATCTCATGTACCTCT